CTCTCTAATGAGATTACTTTTTGTACTTCGCATCTCGCACAATGCGGTCGTTCGCATTATTAGGCCTACTATTGTGTTATTGTTATTAATGAAAATATTACACAGATTTAAGAAAGTAATTTGCGCTATATAAATCCATCTATTATTATTATTATTATTATTATTATTATTATTATTATTATTATTATTATTATTATTATTGTTATTTATTAATTAAAAAAATAATAATGTCGGCGTCATTTGATGTATTTTTACAATCATGATAACATTTAAAAACCATTAATTCACATTAGGCTGTTGTTTCGAATTTACATTTCCCCCTGTATGCCATGTGCTCTGTACCTGTCTCTTATACACATCTAGATGTGTATAAGAGACAGAGTTAGGCCTGCTTTAAGCCCAAACAAGGTCGAAAATGATGTGGGTACCGGGCCACGATGAATAGTCAGGATTAACCCATCACACAACCACTTGGCCTAGGCATAGTAGACTAGCCTATCCCAGGGCCTAGCTAGGACTAGCCAGAAATTAGGATTAGTTTTCCTTGCATAAATATACCGGTCAATAAACTATCATAAGTAATGGATGTGAAGTCTTTATTAGATTTATAGTCTAAATCATGTCACATACCATATTTATAATTGGATTTGTAGCCTCGCCTTCTTGAAAATCTCTCCAAAATTCAATGTTTCTTCTACATGCGATGGATTTGGTGCACATGCGTACATGATCTTCTATGATAAAACAAGAAAAAGATATTGGCAAGGCTATGTGGTAGTATTCTAAAGACAAAAATCAAGGTAATAAATACTTATGTCGAACATATTTATATAAATACTAATTAATAAATGATACTTCAAATATACTGTATATTTTTAGTGTTTTTTAAACGGTTGCTGTTGCAATTCCATGTATTTTCTAGGTTCTCGATTCGTCTTTTACGACAAAAAAAGTTACAACATTTTATTGGTAACAGATGGCGCCCTTTAGAAATTTCTAGAAAATTGTTAGTATACAGCATGCATGCTACAGGCTGCTGTTGTAACAGCTGTTATGCCCAATTTACCGAATGCGGCTCGGAAATGTTAATATTGTTAACATTTTGTTATTGACATGGCCAAGCTGTGCTTTCGTCAAATTCAATCCCAGTTTTAATCAAAATAATCTTAATATTAATTGTAATAATAACATTTTATTTATTATAGTTTTTAAGTGATTTACAAATAATTATTTCAATATTTCTATTTTTCTAATTTAGCCTCATTTTTACCGTATTTATTGTTGTACATGCATGTTTATAATTAGTTTTATGGAATTAAGTTTTACTTCTTAAAGAAAACTTTCATAGACAATCCTTGCATCATCTTTCATTGTAATATTTTTTTGTCCTGCCTTGTGCAATAAAGATGATAAACAGTTTCATTGGACTCAATTCTTGCTTATGTTAACCACATGCTTACCTTAGATTATACTGACACTAGTTTCAAATCACGGTCAAGTAGTTAAAAATCACCTTATTTTGCGAATTAAGAGCCCCTCAACTGATCATCGACCCCCACCCCCACTTCAGTAACTTCGCGGCCCCATCAGCCCCCCCTCCCATTTTAAGACATCTAGATACGCCACTGACCTACATGGCCAGATGAATGAAAATACTCAATCGATGTGCCACCAAATCGTAATCAGCCTTCACCATGCCCTCACGATGTCACCGGGGACGCAACTGCCAAAAAACTATTTTTGGCAGCGAAGGGACGCTACCAATAAACAATCAACAAACTACCGGGTTTCTGGGTTGATTGCAAGGTACTACAAAGCTCAACTATTTTTTTACTTAGGGGGTTAATTAGTAAAAATCGCACAGAATTATACGACGTCACTGACAACGCCGGGGACGGCAACTCGATTTTGAAATTAATTTTCCAAATAAAGTTATACTAAATAACTTCTAATGACGAACTATTCTCTTCAGTTGTCTTTGTTGGTCATTCAACTGTCATTTTATCTTTCTTTTCGGTGATATTACCATTCTCAATAATCTATAAAACACCCACATAACAACGTCACGTTAGATCGATCGGTGCGGACGCCGTGGTGACGCCGGTAGGGTCAATTTTCGTCGGAACGGAATGTATTAAGATGATAAACAGTTTCATTCGACTAAATTCTTGCTTATGTTAACAACATGTTTACCTAAGATTATATTGACACTGGTTTCAAATTAAATACAGTAACTGACAACTTTGGTTTGTATCATATCTGTTTTGACTTCGTCGCAGAACGATGGCAGAAAACCAAAAACAAAATACATCATACAATATATTGTACATACAATACCTTGTTATGGCATGTGTAATTTACTGGACGAGTTCTCATTGATAATTATAAGACAACGTCGTAAATACAAGTGCATATACTGTTTTCGTGGTTTTTTTTTTTTTAATTATTATTATTATATTTTTTTTATGTACAGTAGGCCTATACATTGTTATAACAATAACTATAATGATTAGTCTACGCCCTCGGCTTAGACTATCATAGGCCTGGACCTAGTAGCCTAGTATGTACCTATTTTATTTTGCCATTTTGCCAATTACCATACAGTTTGTCATTTTGGAAGCGTTGCCGTTTTGGTATTGCCGTTTTGACTTACTGCCGTTTTGGTCTTGCCGTTTTGTTGACTAATTGCCGTTTTGGTCCATTGCCGTTCTGGTCTAAAAGTGTTGCTGTTTTAGTTTTTTGCAGTTTTGGTCATTGCCGTTTTGACTTATTGCCGTTTTGGTCTGTTCCCGAATCTGATACTTATATTCTGTAAAGATGTATGAAATAAAAGTTAAAAACCTGTGTTTGATATTTATTGAGCTCTCATTAATTATTCCTAATGACTCAATGGCACAATTGAGTTTTTAATTTTGTATCGTGATTTTGACAAACCATAGAGCAAAGAGTTTCTTTGCTCTATGGACAAAATAAGCGTAATAAAGATAATACTTTCGTCTTTAACTATTTGTTTCTTATTACAAATTGTTTCATTTTTATTATATTATATAAAACAAATTACTAAATAAAGTTTAAAACGTTCAATCAAAAGAAGAACAAAAAATGGTTGTACTTTTCTCATTATTAGGCCTACTATTGTGTTATTGTTATTAATGAAAATATTACACAGATTTAAGAAAGTAATTTGCGCTATATAAATCCATCTATTATTATTATTATTATTATTATTATTATTATTATTATTGTTATTTATTAATTAAAAAAAATAATAATGTCGGCGTCATTTGATGTATTTTTACAATCATGATAACATTTAAAAACCATTAATTCACATTAGGCTGTTGTTTCGAATTTACATTTCCCCCTGTATGCCATGTGCTCTGTACTGTACGGAAGAATGCTGTTTAAGGATTTGTTTTTTGTTTTGTTTTGTTTTGTGTGTTTGTTTGTTTGTTTGTTTTGGCTAGGACAGAATATGAAATTTAATAATTCCATATTTTCCGTAACTTTTTTTAAATATTCAAAAATCTGTATCTCATTATCTCTTTTTATCTCATTAACCAAGTTTTTCGTCAAAGTTTGGGTAGAAAATGAAGACGTCTGTATTGCCATTGGCAATCATGTATTTCTTATCTTTATTTGTTGGTCTTTTTTAATTGTATGTTCTACTATTCTATATAAATACATTTCTAAAATAAAGAAATGTATGTAAAAATTAAATGTACGTTTTTGTTTGTCTTGTAAGTAATCAACATTTTATAACAACGACCTTATTCCACCTACTCCCTGATGGAAGCCTAGCTAAATTAAAATTAAGTGATGGTACTTGATATTAATTAGTAAGGTAATTAACAAAGAAATAATAAGAAAAGAGCGTTAGAAAAACACTGGAATGATCACCATTATATATCAGCTAATATGAAAAAGATGTTTATGAAAATCGACACAAAAGCCTAGCGTAAAGTCTCGACATCAAGTTAGACCAAGGAGATAATTGTTCATCATCTATTATTGTATTTATATTCATCCTTATCATCATCATCGACCAACCCATCAAGCCTCATCATCGTCATTGTCGTCAGTTGTGGTTCTGCTTCTTAACCTCCCCATCGTCGTTAACCATTAGGCCCCCGGTAATTCGTTTTATGCGAGAGTTTCAATGATAAGCCTATTCCAATTTCAATTTATTTCACTTGCTATAGGCGACCTACTGCAAGTGACCATAAAGAGCAAACCTTAAATTTAAATGACATGTTCTGAATTATACAATATATACGTCTAATAAATAGGCATATAAGTATAATAATTGAACAGTTCACACAACACATAATTTGGGCCTTCACAGTATACACCTTTCCAATATGGATTAGCCGCGTTACATCACACGTGAAGCATGGTGCTAATAGGGAAATCCTGTTTCCATTGGTACGGTAATTAATACAACAGCAGATCATTGAACTGCATCGCAAACAAAACAACGATAAGTATGTAAGAATTCATTAACATAATTCACCTAAAAGCAATACAATAGGTCCAATAAACCAAACATCATATACATTTAATTATAAATTTGTATTTATGAAAGTACATGTATGTCCGATGCGCTAATCTCGAGATGATGAATACCCCTTGTTCATTAATTAATAAGGCTCTAAATAGTTCAATGACGTCAATATATTATAACATAAAGATGCACAAAAATCTGACAAGAAGTCATTTGATCGCGAGATATTTGGAAGACCAGACTTACTGGTATATTGTACTGTACTGTATCACATGTGATAGAACTGAAGATTTTCTGTTGAAGGGTAAGTAGGTGTGCTTGTTATTTAAGTGTAAGATAAACATATTAAAAACGCTGATAATGGACTCAAAATGAACATGGAGCTATTTTATTACAGTTTCATGGGATAACACAGAAGAGAGAATTTAGCTAAATTTATGCTCAGTTACAGCTTGACTATATTGTACCATTCCCATGCGGAGAGTATGTTGTTTTTTCTGTTGTCGTTATATGTTATAGCATAGACAAATGATTGACCGTCTTTACCGAAATTTGTCACGTTGTATCTGATGTTGATAAAGCCAAATAAAACACTCATTACACATTATATATC